GCCTGCCTGGCAAGCACAAGGTCGTGAGTTCAGTTCCCGGTACCGGAGAAAAACCAAAAAAAAAAAACAAACAAACAAAAAAAAAAGATAGGCATAGACAAGGGCTTTCTGAGTAGATCCTGAACTGCACAAGATGTAATACCAAAAGTCAGCAAATGAGATTATATCAAATAAAAAATCTTTTGAACATCAAAGTAAACAACGAACAGAATGAAGAAACAGCCTAAAAAGTGGGAAAAATTTTGCCAGCTACTGCATACTGGGACAGAGGACTAGTACAGAACTCAAAAAAATTAGACCACCAAAAATAAAAGACCCAGTTGATAGACAAGCAACTAAAATGAACACACACTTCTAAGAAGTACAAATGGTCAATAAATACATGAAAAAATGTTCAGCATCTTTGGCCATCAGAGTAATGAAAATCAAAACACTGAGATTCCATCTTCACTAAGAGTGGCTATTATCAAAAAAAGTGCTGTCAAGGTTGTGGGGAAAAAGGAACACCTGTACACTGTCAGTAGGGATGTAAACTAGTACAACCACTATGGAAGTTAGTATGGAGAGTCTTAAGAAAACTAAAAACAGAAATTCTATTTGACCCAGCTATACCTCTTCTGAGTATCTTCCTTAAAAGATGAAAGGCATATTACATTGATACATGCATATCCGTGATTATATAGCAGCACAGTTTACAGTAGCCAAATTATGGAAATAACCTTTATACCCATCAACAGAAGAAGAAATAAAGATGTAGTATATGTGCACAATGGAGTACTCTTCACCCATAATGGATACATTGGAGTCATTTATAGGAAGGTGGATAGATGGATCTTGAGACCATAATGCTAAGTGCATAAATCAGAGACAGTATATTAAATCCTATGGCTTCTCTAACATAAGAAACCCAAAATGTAAAGAAAGTCCAAAACAACAGAGAGATGGTAGGACACACAGAGGGAGACTCTGTGGAGATGGGAAGGGGTTCTGGGAATGGAGAGAGAGGTGAGGGACAGGAAGAAGGGAAGTAAAAATGATTAAGATGCAATATGTATACAAAGGAGTTCCCCAAGATGAATGTAATTATTATGTATCACAAATATATACTAAGAAAAAGAGCTATGTAATAAAGAAAAAAGTTGACTTACTACATAATTGTTCTGTATTATGACTCAGTACTTTTCATTTTTCTGCACAAAAGTCACAAGAATTTTAACAGAACATTATCAGTAAGACTTGCCCATATTTTTCTTTTTTAGTGCTGGCATTGGAAGAACCGGGGTTCTTATTACTATGGAAACAGCCATGTGTCTCATTGAATGCAATCAGCCAGTTTATCCTCTAGACATTGTAAGAACAATGAGAGATCAACGAGCCATGATGATCCAAACACCTGTAAGTACCGTATTTCATGTACACATGTGTATCCTCAACTTGATGGTTTTTGTTGTCAATGTGTATTCTAAATCATATTCTTAAATTTTAATTCCTTACCAGGAGCTAATAACCCTGAGAACAGGGTGAGCAAACTTCTGCCTATGAGCCAATCTAATTTACCATTTTTTTTTTAATTAAGCTTTAATGGAACCCAGCCATGTTAATTTATGTATTATCTTTGGTTGTGTCTTAGTTCCTTTTCTCTCATTGCTGAGAAAAATACCTGAAACCCAAAATTAAAGAAGGAAAGATTTATTTAGCTCACAGTTTGTGGAGGTTTCAGTTCATAATCAACTGGCTCCAAGGCAGGGTGGCATGGCGCAGAGGTAACAACCCTTCAAGGTGGCAGAAGACAGCAAAAGCAGCAAGAGCAAAGAAGGGGGAAAGTAAGCCTCTTTATAAGTAGGCTACCACCCCTAGGGTGAATGTAGCACTCTTACCATCTTCCTGCCCTCTTGCACAGGATGAGGATGTTTACAAAGTGAAGACCTGCTGAGTCTTCATTAAACTTCTAAACTTCTCAAGCTGACACAGTGTATCAACCATTACTGGCTCCTTTAGTACTACAAAAGGTGAAGAAGTTGTAACAGATACCATACCATACCATATGGTTTACAATTTCTAAAATAAATAATACCTGCCCTTTTACAGAAACAGTTTTGCCAAAATACAAGTAACATTGCATGTTAAATCTGAATGTTAAACAGATGCAGAGGCGTTTGCCTTGTACTGCTTAATCAAGTGAAATGTTCAACTGGAGAATCTTGATGGGCCTATTTTCAGCCAAATGGATGCAAATAGAATTGCCTTTCCTTTTTACACAAGAACTTAATTTGTAACAACAGCAAAAAAAGCCTAGATAATAAACTATTTATTATATTCTCCACTGATTCTTAATTATGCCCTAGGAATCAAAAGAGGAATCATGGAATGTTAGAGTTAGTGTTAAGGTTATTTTTTGTATTAATTAAGCCATTGTGAGAAGTTAAGAGTTGTTAGAGGAGGTTAGATTATTTGAAACAGATTAACATAGGTGCTTTAATAACTGCCTGCTATCTTTCTGCTTGTAATTATATAAATTTTCAAATATACCACTAAAGCAGACAATGTAATATAATGAATAACTTGTTTAGTATTACATTTCCAATACTTGAAGCAAATCTTAGATATCATATGTTGTCTGTGAATATTTTAGTGTGTATTTCTACAAGAGCATTCTTCTTTTAAACACAGAATCTCTGTCTCACCTAAATGTAATACACAGTAATTCTTGAAATAATTAAGTAGTCAGTATTCAGATTTTCAGTTGTTTCATATAAATCGTTTCTTTTTTCTTTTAGAACAGCTTTATTAAAATATAAACTCACATACAAATTTTACCCCTTTAAAGCATTCCTTTTGGTGATATGTCACAAAGGTTTGCAACCATCGCTATATCTAATTTTAGAATATTTTCATCACCCCACAAAAAATGTTCCACACATATTAATAGTTATTCCCATTTGCCCTATACCCTCCTTAACATCCAACAAACGTGCAGCCTAGGCGGGAAGTAACCTCTGTCTCAGTTGACTTGCCTATTTTGGATGTTTGATATGAATGGAATCATGTAGTTTGGTCTGTTTGTCTGGCTTCTTTTAATTAGCACAAAGTTTCAAGGTTTGTACATACTACAGTGTGGATCAGTGCTTCATTCTTTTATTGCTGAATAATTTTCCACTTTGTGCCTATAACACATTTTGTTTATTTATTCTTCCACTGAGGGACCTTTGGGTTGTTTCCACTTGCTAGATGTTGTGAATAATGCTTCCATGAAGATTCATGTATGTTTTTGTGTGAACATACATTTTCATTTATATTGGATATTCACAGGAGTAGAATTGTTGTGTCTAATAATAATTCTATATTCAGCTGTTGCAGGAACAACTGCCTATTCAAGTTGTTTTCCTCTTTTTTTTCTCTTTTTTTTTTTTGTGAAAAGGTTTTGCTATGCAGTTGAGGCTGGCCTTGAACTCACTATGTAGCCCAGGGTGGCCTCAATCTCATGGCCATCCTCCCACTTCAGTCTCCTGAGTGCTGGGAGTACAGGCAAACACCACCATGTCTGGCTTCCCTTTTAAAAATTATCACTGGTTTATATTTTTTTAATAGAAATTCCTTATCAAATTATGATTTGCAAACATTTTATCTGTCTTTTCTCTTTGATTTTAGCATTTGAAGTGCAAAAGTTTTAAACCTTGACTAAGTCCAGTTTTTCTACATTTTTCTTTATTGCTTGCTTTTTGATTTTATAGCTAAGAAATCATTGCTTAGCCCATATAGATTTACTCCTGTTTTCTTCTAAGAGTTTTATAGTTTTAGCTTTCATATGTAGGACTATGATCCATTTTGAGTTAACTTTTACATATATTTTTATTCCAGTTTTACTACTTTGCATGTGGCTATCCAGTTGTCCCAATCCTGTTCATTGAAAAAACTGTTTATTCCTCTTCAGTTTTCTCAGATCCCTTTCAAAAATCAGTTGACTACAAATAAAAAGTCTTATTTCTGGGCTTTCAGTTCCATTCCACTGATTTGGATATCAACTGTTCAGCCAGTACTCGTGCTGTGATTAATGTAGCTTTTTTGTAAAATTTAGAGTCAGAAAATATGAATATCCAACTTTGTTGTATTTTAAGATTATTTTAATTTTTCTGAGTCTATTGCACTTCCATATGAATTTTAGAACCAGTTTTCCTTTTTGCAGAAAATAGCTAATTATAATTTTGGAAGGGATGACATTGAATCTGTAGATAATTTGGGAAGTATTGCTCCGTTGATGATACCTATATCTTCCAAATTGCAACATAGTATTGTTCTGTTTATTTAAGTCTTTTAATTTCTTTCAATAGTGTTTTTAGCATACAAGTCTTATACTTATTTTGTTGCATTTATTCCTAATAATTTGTCTTTGGATACCATTGTAAGTGGAATTGTTTACTTAATTTCATTTTAGAACTATTCACTGCAAGGGCATAGAAAGACAATTGATTTTATTTATTGATCATGTATCCTACAACCTTACTAAAAGCTTCTACTGCTAGTAGGATTCTCTATGTACAAGATCATATCATCTGTAAATTGAGATGGTTTACCTTTTTTCAATCTAGATGCCTTTTTTTCTTTCTTTCTTTCTTTTTTTTTTTTTTTTTTTTTGCTTTGCATAAGTATCCTGGCTAGAACCGCCAGTACAATGTTGAATAGAAGTGCTGTATTACGTATTAGTTACCTTTTCATTACTGAGATGAAATACCTGACATAAACAACTTAAAAGAGCAAAGATTTATTTCAGGGCATGGTTTCAGAGGTTTCAATCTGTGCTCAGCTGGCTTCATTGCTTTAGGCCTGTGTTGAGGCAGAAACTTGGTAGAAGAGTGTGGCAGAGGAAAGCTGTTCACCTCATGGCAGCCAGGAAGCAGAAAGAGAACAAGAGAGCACAAGAGGAAAGGGCTGAGACAGGATAGACCCTTCAGAGCCCCTAGTGACCTACTTCCACTGGGCCTCAACCGCTAATAGCCCATTCAGCTGTGACCTGTCAGTGGATTGATGAAGTTAGTTCTGTCCTGATCAGGTCACCTCTGTAGACCCCACGTCTAAACATGCTACACTGGGGATCAAGCACTCAATACCTGAGTCTTTGAAGATGCTTCATATCTAAATCATAACAAGTAGTGAGGCCAGAACACTTTTCTCTTCCTGATCTTATCGGGAAGGCTTTCAGTCTTCTACACTAAATAGTTAACCAAGAGTTGTTGCTGTTTACCAGGTTAAAGAACTTCCTCTGTATTAACTGCTGAGTATTTCTATCCTGAAAAGGTGTTTAATTTTGTCAAATGTTTTTTCAGTATCTTAGATGATTATATCTTTTGTTCTTTTATTCTTACATTTTTGTCATGTATCAGGTTTTTGGTATATTACATTTTTGTTACCTTGTATTCCTGAGATAATACTTACTTCAACTTAATATATAATTACTTTTATATGTCGTTTTATTTGGTTTGTTAGCATTTTCTTGAATTTTTTGCTTTTCAATCTATTCTTTCATAATAAGTTTTTTTCTTTTTAATTGTGGTGAAATACACATATGATAAAATTTACTGTGGTTTTTTTCTTGGTGGTGGTGGTTGCTTTTTGCTTTTGATTTTTGCAGAGGTAAATAGAACCCAGGGCCTCATGAAGACTAGATGAGCATTCTACCACTGAGCTATATCCCTAGCTTTTCTAAAAATATTCAGTTGCCAGAGATAGGAAAATATATTGATGATAAGTTAATGCTGATTCTGTATTTTTACTTAACATCTCTGATATTTTTATCCCCTTTCTTCTGTAGCAAGAATATTGGCTCTCTTCAGTACCAACAATGAAAGACTTACAGTAACACAAGTACTCTGTTGTTTTATTTCAGATTGTATACCAACAACTTCAAAAAGACAGTAACAGGACAGCAATGTGGCTCCTCAAGACAATTTTTAATTTTTTCCCTTTTTGTTAACCTGTAGGTATATCCTACAAGAGACAATATCATAGAGTCACTTGGAATGACTCCCCTTTGTGTGGTTATGCCATCAACTAGATATGTGCTTTGATTTATTTTACATATTCAGTTTCTAGGGATTTTTAAAATTAATTTTAGAATTAATATAAAATATAAAGATACAAAATAATATATTTACATAGTTCTAAACTAAAATCTATAAAATGAGAAAAGTATGTTTAAGCACGTTCAGCCTCCTGCTCTCTCTTCCCTACATGCCTTTATAAGAAACCATTTTTTAAATTACTTATCCTTTGCTTAGTTGCTTTCTCTTTCTTGCTTGCTTGCTTTTTTTTTTTCTTTTTAAGGAAGGAAACATATGCTGAACTGGGAGTAGTGGCTTACACCTGTAATCTCAGCATTCTGGGAGGCTGAGACAAGAGGTTTGCAAATTCAAGCCCAGTTCAAACAGCTTAGCAAGAATGTGTCTCAAAATAAAAAGGTCAGAAAGCCATGGGTTCAATCTGTAGTGCCACCACCATCCAAAATAGCTGAACTGATATAGATTTTTATATTTTCACCTTTACTTTATAAAAATACTTTATATACCTTGTTTGTTTGTTTGTTTGTTTTACTTAACAAAATATTCTGGAATCACTCCATAGTAGTGTGTACAAAGACCTTTATTCCCTTTTCACTAAGATAGTATTCCATTGTGAAGATATGGATTGTTTACCCAAGCCTTTACTGATGACAATTGGAACTGTTTGTAATTCTTCTCTGTTATTAATAGTCAAGTACATAGCCTTGTTTGTGAATATGTGTTTTCAGTCTCTTTTTCTAGTTTATCTTTTGGATATGTTCCTACAAGTGGAATGGCTGTGTCAAAAAGTAATAATGTATTTTGTTAAGTGTTGTCAAATTCTTCTTCATAGAGTTTGTAGTATTTTACCATCCTTACCAGTAATGTATAGGTGAATTTTGCTAATAAAATGTGTTGTTGTGCTTTCATTTTTGCCCATTTTTTTGGCAAAAAATGATACCTTGATGCTAATTTATTCTGAATTTCCTTTTTAAGCAAGCCAAGTGCCAACTAAGATGTTTGTCTTTTCTTTTTTTGGTGTTCTGATGTTTCTGATCAATTCTGTTTTTTATATTTTATTTTTCAGAGTCAATACAGATTTGTATGTGAAGCTATTTTGAAAGTTTATGAAGAAGGCTTTGTTAAACCTTTAACACCATCATCAAATAAATAAGAAAACAAAAGTTCTGGGATATGTGTTGGAAAACTGCTTTTCATTATATTCACTGTGCCATTGCACCGCTCACAGGAAATGGCATCTCATTAAAAAAAAAAAAAATGAAGAACTCACAAAAACTTTGAAAACTTCAGCACTGTTGCACTTTATGTTAAGAAATATGTCACTCTTTCAAAATCTATAATTCATGTGTTTGAAGACTTATTTCATGCTTTGCTCCGAACAAATAGTGAATAACTGAGTATGTTCAGGGTAATTTATGAAATTTTGTGGTGGTGCCAGGCAGCCCCCTTCTGGTAGAATTGCCACAAACAAAGCTCAGAATTCTCATCTCTGGTGTACACCTGTATCTTGAAAGCAAAAAGTAAACATCACCAGTCAGCTCTGGTCTTTGTTGGTGGTTTATGTACTTACTATACTGATTATCAGATTTTATTTTTAAAATTTTAGCAATATCATTCTCAATATTAGCCAATACACTGCCTACGGATGCAGCACATCTTTCCCTACACCCCCACCCCTGTATAGACCTGCTGTTCAGAAGAAGAAAGGTGGAATTTATTATTCCCAGGAAATGCTGCACATTGTCCATTTACCAGCATCTTATGGAAAGTATAAATAGGAATCTACAAATTTTCTTGGATTTAATAATATAACTTATATTTATCTTAAGGTTGGCTTATTCCACATCATGTGATTTCACATACTTGATGTAACGGAATGCATGCATTGTGTCTTAACCCCTTAAGTGCCTTGAGCTGTCATTGTCTAATGAAAAGGCACTCATTTGACCCCACTAGGAGGTGTGTATGTATATTGTACATTCTGACATTTTTATGCATTTTGAATAAGTTCATATTTTTTTTAAAAAACAGCTTCTTGTATTGAGAGTTAAGCAGTGAAAGATGAGTAAAGAAATTCCATTTCTTACTGAATACTTGTATTTTGCCATAAGAAGCAAAGTTAAATTGTGTTCTACTGAGTGCATGACCTGCTGCTATGGAATTGTTCAAAATCTACACATTCCTTTACTGAGGGACAGGGGATACAGTTCAGCAGCTTAACTTATTCTTCAAGACTCATTTATTTTATCCCTAACTTTAGATAAACATGTCTAACATGTACATTAAATTAAAGATAAATATATTGATACTCTAAGCTAAAGTTAGAGGACAGTTAAATAGTTGTGGTTTATTCTTCTCCATAACTACATTGTTGCTCTTTAGCACTCATTTCTTTCTCTGCACTGGTCTTTGGTTGGGTTTCTTTAAACAAACAATTAAATATTGTTGGTTGATTTCTAAATGTAACCCCAAATGAGGGTTTTCTCATTATTTTTGTGTACATTTAAATTAACTTATATATACTTTTTAAGTTGACTTTTGATTGTCCAGCTTGATTGAGGATCTGATTCCCATCAAAGATGTATATATTTTTCACAGGTTTTTCTGTTTGTGTTTTTAAGTCTAGTGAGATAGAACTTTAAATTGTCTGGTTAACTTTAAATTGCCCACCTACTCAATCATTATTTTATGTAATTATTTGATTTTTGTTTTGGGTTTTGTTGTTGATTTGGTTTGATTTGTTTTTTAGGAAATCCTATGAGACAGGATTTTTGTTTTGGGTTTTGTTGTTGATTTGGTTTGATTTGTTTTTTAGGAAATCCTGTGAGACAGGATTTCCCTATGTAGTTCAGGCTGGCCTTGAACTCATTATATATCCCAGGCTGGCCTTGAACTTGTGGCCATCTTCTTGCCTCAGCTTCCCAAGTGCTGGGATTATAGGCGTGCATCAACCATACCTGGCTTCTTATGTAATTATTTTATATGGATATGGTTAAAACTGATTAATTTCCTAGTGGTTTCTGAAGATTTCATTACTGTATAGTCTTGATAAAAGTTTAGAGTACAATGATAGATATTTTGGAATGCTTTTTAGTATGAGAGGGAAAATACACATTTAAAAATCTTTAGTAAAACCTAAATGATGTCATTTCATGTATTAAAAATCCACAATAACAAATTCTAGAAAGTTACGCTCCTAATATTAATAACCAAGATACCAAATAAATTGTCATATTAAAATATTTTGTCTTTTTTAAGAGAAGTAAACATAACCTTTATGTCAAAGAGAAATTCTCTTACAAATTTCCTGATTTCACACTCAAGACAGTATAAGAAAGTAAATTAACTATAGTCTTACTTTAACATTCCAACAGATAAATGGAGTTCTGTCAACAGATAGATGTAAGTTAGGCTGCTATGTGACATTATGACAAGTTGAAAAATGAGAAAAAAAACTCATTTGGGGTCTGAATATTAAATAACTGGTTTGGGTAGTTGTTTTTGCCTAAATTTAAAAATGAAATCTGTCAGTTTTATCTGTATGGACAGAATATGACACCATAAGTAAAAAAGATACCTGGCCAGGCATGGTGGCCAGGTAATCCCAACACTCAGGAGGCTGAGACAGGAGGATTACCGTGGTTTTGAGGTGAACCTGGGCTACATAGTGAACTCAAGGCCAGCCTGGAAACAGTGAGACCCGGTCTCAAAAAGAAAAATTAATTAATTAAAAGGTACCAGTGTGTAAATATAAACAGACAACTGTCTTTAATTTAGGGTTTCATTTACCCTTCTGAGGTTGACTCTAATTGTTGTCAATGTGTACTGCTGCCTTTGTAATCATTTAATGCCTACCTTTAAATGACAATGTATGTGAAATGTAGAATTACATTCAAATTTCTCATGTATGAATTTTTCATCTGGGAGGTACCCTCTATCAGTATTTTCATGTACAGAAAATGGTTCTTTTATAAAGGCATGTTTATTGGGATCTCACTCAAATTTAAAATGATTTATCCTTCACAGAATAGTTAAGCTTCTTTGTTTACCAAATAGATAGAATTTTATCCATTAAACCTAAGAATTTTTTCACTTGCTTATTAATCTAAATAAGGTTTCTAGAAATAATGTTAGGTTTCATACATCGAGTAGTTCTAGACTCCATCCACAATATGTGATAAAATGCCAAATTTTAGATATAAGCTACTCCCCCAATTCCTCTAGCCACAGCTGCCCCCATGAACCTATATACTCAAAGTGGAAATCATTAGTGGTGAATCGGGGCTTTTGTAAATGCCAAGAAGTGTTAGTGAAAAACTGCTTCCCTCTCTGACTTAGGGTGGTTTTTCTATTCGTTTCAAACCTTTTATTAAATACCCAATTTGTGTCAGCACTGTGTACATAGGATGAGGAATATTTGGGAATAGGCTTTGCATTCTCAAGAACTGGTTGTATTTGTTAAACCAGTACATCCATTTCAAATCAAAGCAGAGTAAGCAGCCTAAGAAAATTTTCCTTTAGATAGCCTGCTAGGACAAGTAAGAAGCAGGGAAAAGTTTTCTAATTCTCATCTAGTGTTCTCTTTATTATACTGGAACTTCAGTAAATTGTAAGCTAAGTAATATCAAGTTCTTGTAAATTTAAGTGTTTGAATTTGAGAAGTTGCTCAGGCAGTGTTTTCACTTTATAACTATGACAACATTAGATGTCACTTAAATTAGAAAATAAGTAGGCTTCCAAAATGATCCTAATTAGGATCCTAACTTGGTTTGCTAGTTATGCTTCCCTGACAGAGAACATAAGATTTTATTATGTATTTTGGCTGATACATGTACTGTGGGAAAACACTCTGAACTGTAAGTGAAGACTTAATTTTTAAAAGCACTTAAAACATAGAACTAAGATTTAGAACATATATCCTCTTATAATGAAATAATTTATGTTCATAATGTGAACATAGAATTAAAGCATTACTTGTTTTATAATCTTACCAGGAAAGAGAGGAAACATGAATTTATAATAATGTGCTATTTAATATCTGTATTTTGAATATTTTAAGTATTCTTGTGGTAAGGATGCCAAAGTAGTTTTGAATTTGTAAAAATTATTTATACCACAGTAATGTGGGATATGTTTACAGATTATTTTGTAGCAGTTATTTTATAGTTCAGATTAATTTGAATTTAAGTCACTTATAGTAAACACATTATGGTAAATACTTGTTGGGATAAACATTTCAATAACATGACAAGACATATGTAAATGATGCCACAGCCTGCTTTTCTATAAGCTGCCACATCAATAAAGTAAATACTTTGTTTTAATACTGGTTACTTCCCACATGTGTTTCAACTAGCCACAATTTCTGGAACTATTTGTTGTGGCTTCCTCCAAGTGAAATAGCTATTACTCTAATACATACAATTAATAGAACAAATACTGGAATTACTGGTCTGTTGACAGGTATTTATTGGTTTCACAATGTGATCACTATATAAATTGTAGCAACTGCTTTATAAAATAGAGAACTGTATAGATTCAAAGGAATTTATATAACCCTAGAACATTTTTGAGAGCTAATTGCTAATAGATAATTTCATCAGTTTTAACAGCCCATGAAATTAATCCCTAAATTGAATGCTTTGGGTTCTTTATCACATTTACAACTATTATCAACATAATCTTTATTTATAGAAACTTCGTTTATTCTCAGTAGCAACTATAATAATGTCTTTTAATGTTATTAGAAAAAAAAAACAGCAATCCCTATTATTGCCAAAAATTAGGCACATTATTTTCAGAGTCTTGGTAAATTTGTTTTAGATAGATACCAAAAAGTTACTTCTGTTTCCATATATACCTTTGCTGCTACCTTATTTTATGCTTTTCTACTGCAGTATACTATTGATTCTGAAGGTTTTTGGTCATCCAAGCTAAGTGGACAGCTAGAAATAATATCTGCTGGGATACAGTCCAGCAGCATCAGTTAGACATGACTCAGTGCATATATAAGTAAACCATCTTCTCTTTTAATTTATATAATGAAAGTTATTAGTAATATTGCAAACTAAAGACTGCAATTTTAGGGAACAGTTCAAAGATTTAACTTCCTGAAACCTTTTAAAATTTCCAGTACAAAAATGAAAATGTTTGAAAGCCTTGTTCATAAAAGTTTCAGTTAAACACTGTAGAGTTTTCCTATCTATTATTCTGTAAATGATAAAATATTTTTCTATGGACAAAAGATTGAAATTGTCAGCTTCTTTAATTTCATTGTTTAAAGGGATAAATGATATTTGTATGTTTTTCATGCTGTAAAGAAAATGAATGTATCTTTCAA